TCTGTATGTATGTATGTATGTATGTATATATATATATATATGTATATATGTATATATGTGTATGCATGTATGTACGTATGCATGTATGTATGTATGTATGTATGTATGTATGTATGTATGTATGTATGTAATGCATGTATGTATGTATGTATGTATGTATGTATGTATGTATGTATGTATGTATAGAGAGAGATTGAGTTTGGGACTTTAGACGGCTCAGGGCTCAGGGTTTATGGCTTGAGGGTTTTCAAGGTTGTTTTGTGGTTGGGGTGTCGCAGGCTTTCCTTGCATGTTCGGTTGTTCGAATCTGGCAGTTCTACGAGGGTAAGAATTATTTCAGCTGGGGGTATAACTCCGTCCAGCTTTGAATAGTTGCAGCAAGCTTTTGTTGACCCTTTGCTTTCCGTGAAGCCCTTGAACCCTCCCAATCAGGGTTGCGATTTGAAGTTGACAGCAGTTGCTTTGTGAGTCGGCACGGAAACCGACATCATCAAGGCACTTTCCCAAGCACTAGTCACAACTCCTTGCGCTTCCAGCTTCGAAATTGGTTTTTTGCAGCATGATTAGCTCCTACACTTTCTAGAGCACCATCTGCCTGCAGGAGGCTCCCGGGATCACAGTCGGACAAGTCAATGTGACTGGTCTGCAGATAGAGGGTTCGCTGTGCCTGGGATGGAATGTGTTTTGGAAAACAGCCTCCGCCAGGCTGGGTTCTAGCAGCGTCACACGTTTGAGTCCTGGGTGCTCTGCTATGCTCCACTGGACCCACAGAAAGCACGACCGTAGCACGCTCAACCAGACGATGACAGCAGTGCCCTGTGTGTACTTCAAGAGGTGTTTTTTCTAGGTCCTGCTTCCCCTAAGCAAGGTGCTCCCAGTGCACCCCTGCCTCTCCCGCGATGGTACTACAGCAAGCAACTTTCATTAAAGAAAACAACAACGTGGAATGTCTTGAGCTTGCAGTTTGCAGCGTTACTGAGAATGCACATGATATCTTGTAGTCGGGCTTGTGTGGAAGAGTATGCCGAAATAGGGCACCTCAGCGGAGCAGACGGCCTGCGTCCTGCAAGTGCTGGGAACAAGTGTGAATGCTTCGCATTCCCCGCCCTCCCGGCCTCTGATGTACGGATATTCTGTTTATGGCAGGTTTGAGGCTTCGGGCTCAGTGTTAGAAGCCTCAAGTGCGCAGACTCTTTCGCTGGAAAAGCCCCCGCTTCGACTTCCCAGGTCTCAGGCGTGATCTGTACCAGGGCGACTTGGAAGATCGAAGACGTCCGAGATAAGTTGCAGGCATCCGCGTGGAGGGGTTGCATTTCTGAAGTGCGTGAAGGCCCGGGTTTCAATCCCGGACCCGAAGGGAGACATTTAGGGCGCGGGGGTTTCTCTTGCATGACGGACTGGTCGTTCTTATCACCTAGCTTTCGAATGTCTTCACAGCGTGACGTGCACTTGAAGACGTGCACTTGCCTCGCCTAGTCAGCACGACACCAAAGTTACTGCATGTTGGAGTAAGAACACTGGCGATCAGACGCAGGAGGCCGCTTCCCTGACCCAAGGTCTTTCTTATACTGCAGAATCCACGGATGAGAGAACAGGGGAACAATGGCATCCCTAAGTCACCTCCACAGAGATTACAGCGCCACAATTCCTCCACCTTAATAGCCGGCACAGCAAATTATTACCGAAAGTGTTGGGCTTGCTTATGTTGCACGGTACCTTCGAGGTTTGAGATAGCACGAAGCAACACATGATTAGCAGAAGTTCCAGGTATTTCTGTGAATGCAAGCTGGGTTTGGTTTACTGCCGCAGTTGGGAGGTTTGGACATACGAGCGCTGAGATAAAGATCCGACTCCGACAACTTGCGTGCTCTCAGCTACAAATCCCGTCAGAGTCGGAACGAGGCACTCGCGAAGCTCTGCTACTTGTAGCAGAGATTCTTGAATGCTGCGTGGAGAGCTTGAACGAGGTTATTGTCATTGTGAAATCGATATCTGCATCTCCGAACACAGCCGAAGAGATCCAAAGGCGTACAGTTCTGGTGTTTCCAACGTTCTTCAAGCACACGAACGGAAGCCAGAGATATAGTGCATACATTTTGTCCAAGAACGCACACAAAGATTTGAAGGCCAACTGCTTCATGGCATCGCAGACACCCAAGAGCGAGTCCTCGTTTCAAGCTTTCTTGCATCCGTGGGCATCCTCACCTTAAAGGCACAGCAACCCCTAAACCAAATCCCGAACCCCTGTAAAACCGTAGATCTTCTAACCTACAACTCCTCTGTGTGAAAGCCAGGTGCAGAAAACCACGTCACCTCAACCAACGGACGCTTTCATGATGCCCTATCTCGATTCACAAGATTTGCTTCCAGCGCAAAGTTGTTGGATCGATCGGACTATCTTGCTGCCCTGTACTGTACGTCTAATAGCCTCATACCCGAACCATACCAACCTCAATGTCCACGCTGAAGCCCGAAAGCCCGACACCGAAACTCGAAACCCGTAAATGCCAAAGGCCTCGAATATAGGAAGAGTTTGTACCGAACCGCTTTTTGTGAGTTTTCCCAATACACTTATCGGAGAATATACCCTATTCCAATTACCTATAGTTTCCATTGTAGTTCCTTTTGGGGGATACCTTATCGAATCCTTAATACATAATTGGTTAAACCAAAAAGGAACTACAATGGAGACTATAGGTACTTTCCATAAATCCCGAGCAGGCCACCTTGGGCCGCCCTCTCGTCTCGCCGCCCTTTCGGGCACGTGGGCTGCCACTTGGCGTGGGTACAGGATTTAGGCACTACCCATAGGCCCCATAGTAGTTCCTTTTTGGGGTTACCTTATAGGACTCTATATATGAACCCCAAAAGGAACTACCTTAGGGCCTATGGGTAAGGCTTGATCTGCTTTTGCTTTGCAGGCTTTGGGTTTATCTATAATTCTAGTCCCTGAATACTGTTTAGCTTGTGGTTCCGGAGCGCAGGCTGCAGCGATGTCAATGTGGGGTTCAGGGACAAGATGGGCACAGGTTCTCCGGGTTTAGGGTTTAGGGTTTAGGGATGTTCCACAGTGGATGTAGGACATGACATGTAGGAGTTTCGGCATGAGGTCTGTTCGGGCCGGGTTGCAAATGAAGAGTACCTGTTTGCTGTTTCCGAATCTTGGAAGGTAGAGTTTCGAAACTGGGGGCTTAAGTTTGACTCTCCCTTAGCAGCGGGCCTTGTGAAGCCTCAACCCACAGCTCTAGTAACTCATATTTGTTATTTGTTAGATCCAGAATCCAGTTGCATACAGCCATAACAAGTGGTGTAAGACCGGCCCGTTTTGCTTTGACCTAGCGCAACCACGTATCAAAGTCAGGTGTGAAGCAAAAAGAATCAACAACTTAAAGTTCAGACAGCAAAAATATATTCACCACACAAAGCTCAGAACGACATTGCTCACAACGTAAGCACGGTGATGTTGACGATGAACACAGTTTTTGCAATAGCAAGCATTCAACATATTCGCCAAGAGAATGGCGCTGATACCTCCGTATCCATCCCCCTTTTGGGAGCCATGTGGACGTGACGCCGCGCAACTGACTTGCGAAGTAAACCGCATACATGGGAATATTCAATGCACTGCCATGACTACCTGTAGTCTCCATTGTAGTTCCTTTTTACGGTTACCTTATAGGATCCTAAGTATTAAATTGGTTAATTAAACCAAAAAAAACAACTACAATGGAGACTATATAGGTATAGTACTATCCTTTTCATGAGCCTCAAGCATGAAGACAACAGGATAAGGTGAGTCTGCCGCCTAGGCCGAATCTGCGGCTCATGGTTTTCCCGGATGCACGCGAGGCAGAGTGACCGAACTGCGTGCCCAAAATAGGGTTTAGGGTTTAGGGGGGTTTATGTAGGGGTTTAGGGTTTAGGGGTTTAGGGTTTTAGGGTTTATCAGGGTTTAGGGGGTTCCGGTGCGTTCTCTGCAGCCATGCCTTCACGGACATCTTCATTACCAGAACAAGCCATCCATAACATCTTCAAGCTACCGGTCCCATAAGAACCATACGCATGTAGTGACCGTAGAAGAGGGAGAGCAGCTGTCACACTTCTGGTGTGCGCTGAGGCAGCGAAGGGAGTAAGACAGCGAGAGCGCAAAGGCCTGTATGCGACAATGGTCAGGGCCTTGGACCGAAGACTTGACATTGCATCACATCGCATGCCATATTAGACCAAGGGACGCCCCCAACCCTTCCGGCCTCCACAACGTCTCTATAGTAGCAGTTTCTTTTTGACAAACACAAACCAAACACACACACACACACACACAGAGAGTCACACACACACGCACCATCATGTTGTACACTATTACTACGTGTTATGCTGTGTGTTTCCTTGTCGTGGAACTGGCTTCAGGCTTTTTCGTTCGACTTAGGGGTGGTTTATTGTAGCGTGCGCAAGGCGTACCAAAATCGCTGAAGACGGTCGAGGGCTGTGTCGTTTGTTTAGCTTTCTCACCCCTATATTCCTCAGCCACCATGCGTGCTTGAATGGCTCGCCCTTGGTATTGCTGAAGATGCATGGCTTCCCTGCGCCGTGGAAGCAAACTAAGCACGGTGCTTGCGCCTTGCAGATCTGAAGTCGACGATTAAGTAATCAGGTAACCCTAACTACCTATATATGGGGTACTAGAGGCCCTAGGGCCTTATATAGTAGGTACCTGGGGGGTTAGGTTAGGTGGTAACAATTCAGTGAGGGCCGAGGCTGCACAGGCAACCGAACAGGTTCAAAGAAGTCGGACAGTTAGGGTTTAGTGGGGGGTAATGTATAAAGACCCTTGATAGTTAGAATAGGGTTTTGGGGGGGGTTCCTTATCATTACTATACACTATAGTATGATATACCCCGAAACCCTTTTCTAATCATTATAAGGGCCCTATATTCAGGGGTCTCAGGGCCCACGGTGGTTTACTTGCAACAACAAGGGCCTCGTATAGGCTAAGTGTCACACAGCCGGAGCTTCGAATTCAACAGCATCGAAGGCACCCGTCCCCACTGATACCTGGCGAGAACCATCGGCCATTCTGCATTTCAGACCTGTCGTTAACCCTAAACCGTAAATCCTAAACCCTAAGACCTGTCGTAGCATGAACAGCTTGTCAATATACCCTCCATCCAAACGGCCTCCAATTTCTAGAGGCTCCTGAGCGTCCCTATTTAAGCAGTCAGGTTAGAGCCCTTGAAAGCAGAGTCTAAATCCCGTTTTCAGGAAATCCTGTTCTCATCCTTGCTTACCTCGATTTGGGTCTGCCAACATATGGGTGGTTGTCAAAATTATGGTCCCTTTTTGGGTGCTTATTATAATACGGCACCTATTATTTAGGGTACTCCCAAAGGGACCTTAATGTTGACAACTACCGATATGACTCAACTCTACTTCCCATCAGCCCAAGGAAACCGAGCCATGAGTCCCTGGCCCTGAATCCCCGAGTGAGGTAAAGAAAGGGCCGTTGCACGGCTCCCTTTGTTTGAAAGCAGCTTCTTGGATTTAACTCTGGGTCTTCTTGCGGGGTCCCTTTTTTCGAGGATGGTTCTGAGCTCACAGGATTTGGGATGTGGATGCGTTTGCTTCGTCTAAGTGTCCAAGTACCCATTATTTAAGGACTCTGGGCCCTTTTGGGGTACCTAAAACCATAAATAAGGACTACTTGGACCCTTAGGGTTCCAGCTTGAATTTGTGTGTTTCTTGCCGTGGGTCTTTGGGCAGCTTCGGGTTGCGATGCGACATCCGAGGTTTGAGTTCGAGGTGTCGTAGGTCACCTAGTAAAAGACCCAGTAATCTGTGTGCCCCTGGTTTAGGTGGCGAGTCTTGTGGTTTGTGGAGTGCCATCACAGACCTGGGACTGAGCACCCAAGCCCAGCATATGTGGCAAGGGAAGACTGTAAGACTGCAAGGAGCCAGGCACTTCCGACCCAGACAGGCCAATCCTGTGGTTCAAAGTTTTTCCGCGAGCAAAAAGCAATCTGACGGGGATCTCTTTGAGCTGTCTTAGGAGCTGTCGGGTTCGACCGTTCTAAATCACATTTGCACTCCGCGTGCCGAGGATTGCTTGCAAGATGGCGCGACGGCTGGGTTCCTAGAGAGAGGGGGGCTGCTTGGGGCTTCTGGGGTTAAGTGGGGCTTTCTTCTCTTCGTCAACATGTGGGCCTTTTTGTGTCGGGCTTGGTTTTGCGAAGTCCTCAGTCGATATTTAGGTGAATGATTTTCTGCATATGTAACTGCACATCATAAGAATGCAGGGATCTGCCATCTCGTTACTCACACATGCACTGAGACAAGCGCACAGAAGGGGCGGTTTGAAGAAGCCACCCGCTCTACACCGACGTAGCCTTGCCTAAAGCAAGCGAATTGGTGTCGTGGCATTGGTGGCCTTGTAAACCCCACCGCACAGGCATGGCTTCGAACTGCAGTGGTGCTGACCGGGTGCTTACACTGCACCCAGTGATGCTTGGTGGATCTGCGAGCTGTTAGCAGAGACCGGCATCGGAATTGGTGTCGTGACATCGGTGGCCTTGTAAAACCCACCACACAGGCACGGCTTCGTACTGCAGTGGTGCTGATCCGGCCATACAGAATCGGCAGTGCTTACTTACCCCTTGAGAACTTTTGTATTGGCTTGAGCGGGTGCTTACACTGCACCCAATAGTGCTCCCTGATCTGCGAGCTGTTAGCAGAGACCGGCATTGGAATTGGTGTCGTGGCATCGGTGGCCTTGTAAAACCCACCACACAGGCACGGCTTCGTACTGCAGTGGTGCTGATCCGGC